CCTTTCTCTTAGTCTGGCTGAGGGTTTCACAGCGCGGCTTACCTTTTGGAAGAGCCAGCTCTCCTTTAGTCTTCGCTGAGTCTGCATTTCATATATTTCTGCCTTGCCTTTATTTTTTCTTTTATTAATTCTGCATTTGTTTGATATGTTTTAGTTCACTGAGAGGCAGCCATGAGTTGTGTATTTGCGATCTTTCCACATTTTTAAATAGAGATTTTGGTAGTTCTAATCTTTGAACTTAGCACTGCATTGGCTCTGTGTTGTAGGTATTTATATGGTTTAGCCCCATGTTCATTTGAAGGAAAATTTAAAAACTTTTAAATTGGGAATAAAAATTCATAATTCATTTCTTGATACCATTGGTTACTCACCTGTAAGTTGTTTAATTTCCATGTATTTGTACAGTTCCCAACGTTTCTGTTGTTAATGCATTCCCGGTTTTATTGCACTGTAGTTAGAAAAGGTACTTGATATGACTTGAATTTCTTTTAATTTGTTGAGCCCTGCTTTGTGGCCTATCATATGATCTGTCTTGGAACATTATGTTCCGTATGTGTTCTGTAGCTGTTGGTTGGTGCTCTGTGGGTGTCTTTTTTAGGTACACTTGGACTAGATAACATTTAGTTTTGCTGTTCTTTTGTTGGTCTTTCCATTACTGAAAGTGAGGGGCTAAGGTTCCTAACTATTATTGCAATGGAGTCTTTATTTTCCTTAGAGCCATTAATGCTTGCTTTAAATATTTGAGTGCTCCAATATTAGGTACATGTATGTTTAGGATTATTCTTTTGCTCACTTGTAAGGACTCATTATGTAATAACTTCCTTTATATCTTTTTATTGCTTTTGACTTAATGTCTGTTTTATCTAATGTCTACTTTATTAAGAATTACATCATAGGATACCTCATCCCATCCCCCACTCTTGGCCTATGCTTGTGTATGGTACATTTAGAGGCCAAAGTTCAGCCTTGAGAGTCATTTCTTGAACACCATCTTCCTTGTATTTTGTAACAGGGCTCTCACTGAGACCTGTGGCTCACAATTTTGGCCGGACCCCACTGAATCCCAGCTATCCACTTTCTCCTCCTCCCTCAGTGCTGGGAGTAGAAATGTACATGGGTGCTGGGGACTGAACTCTGGGATTTTTGCTTATATTATAAGCACATTACCAACTGAGCCAACCCCCTAACTCCCTGAAGATGTACTTATGGCGCTGTCCCCAAGTTGCTATAGGCGTCCTCTTCTGCCTCTTTAGTCCCTTCCTGGGAGCGCTTTTCCCAATGTTGTCACTGCTGGTGGCAAGGATTTAGATACCCTCAACTTACCCTTTTCCAGCGCTGCTCTATATGCTCACAGTTTTTGAAAAGTTATCAACAGCCAGTATGGGAGTTAAATAATAACTATTCTGTTTCTTACACCCACCCCACCCCATCTCTAGTCCTTTCTGGAACCTTTCTAGTACCATAGCTAAGTCATCATGCGGGGTGAGCAGAACCGTGACAAGGGCAGTTCTTGCAGGTTTAGTAGATACCAGTGAGTCCTGTTATCCTTAGCTTTGCTCTCATGTGGGGAGAAAGCACCCACAGTGCCTATTTTCCTTACTGCGCTGTGGTTCTGCCCTCAGACATTTGTTCTGGAGAGACTGGGACCCCTTGAGGAGAAGCCCATGGTGACCAGCAGCATCCACTTAACATTCTGAAAATGACAGAAATGGTAATACAGGAAGTCACAAAGACCCAAGAAACCAGGACTCGCTCATCACTAGGTGGGAGACTTGATCTTAAATCAGTTAAGCTCACAGGTCACACTCCTTTTAAATCCACAGTTTCATGGTAATGGCAAGTGCCAAGGTAGGAATTATTTCTCATTAAGTGTAAACTACAAATACTGGTCTTTAAAGGAACCAAGAAAATCTGATTAATTTTAAGAATTTATTAAAATAAATGTTCTGTACTAAAAAGTAAATCAAGCCATTCAAAGCAAATTTCCATTAGTAATTTGACAGCTAGCCCCAAGGCTACTTTAGAACTTCAGATGTTCACAGAAGATGAATTATAAGATTAGTGTTTGAGTACAATTATTTGCGCAACTGTGGATAAGGCAGCGGCTTCACAAATTAAGGGAAGAATGGGACTGTAGAGGTGGCTCAGTGGGTACAGGCACTTGCTATTTATCTAAGTCAGTGTTCTATTGCTTTGAAGAGACACCATTACCAAGGCAACTTATAAAATAAAGGCTTAGGGCTTGCTTCCAGTTTCATAGTGTTAGCCTCTGGCCATCATGATAGGAAGCACAGAGGGAGAGAGGCAGGCAGGCAGGCATGATGCTGGAGTGGTTGATAAGAACTTACATTGGATTCCCAGGATGAAGGCAGAAAGAAAGCAAGACTGGATTTGGCAAGTCCCACTCCCAGTGACACACCTTTCCTAACAAAGCCACACCTCCTAATTCTTCCTAGTCTACCAGCTGGGAAGCAAACCTCCAAATGTATGGATCTCTAGAGGCCGTTCTCATTCAACCATCTCACTGCTAACTCCGGCTTGTTGGGGTGTCTGTCCCGCCCGGTACCCCACAACCGGCAAGCCCCAAAGAAATCACACACAGGACTCCATAAGATTATAAACTGATTGGCCCATTAGTTCAGGCTTCTTATTAGCCCTTGCAACTTATATTAATCCATTATTATTATTATCTATGTTAGCCATGTGGCTTGGTACCTTTTTCAGCTGTCAGCTCACATGTTGCTTCTTCGGTGGTCTGGGCAGGAATGGCAGAGGAATCAACTTCCTCCTCCCCAGAATTCTCCTGCTCTCCTTGCATCATTTCCACTTCCTGTCTGGTTTTCCTGCCTATACTTCCTGCCTGGCCAATCAGCATTTATTTAAAATATGATTGACAGATTACAGACACTTCTCCTGCACCAACACCTCCTAATTCTTCCCAGTCTACCAGTTAGGAAGCATACCTCCAAATGTATGGTCTCTAGAGGCCATTCTCATTCAACCATCCCACTGCTAACTCCGCTGACCTGGGGTCAAGCTGGAGCTCAGAACCCATGTGATAAAAGGAGAGAACAAAGTCCACTAGGTGCCCTCTGACCTCCACACCCATGCCATGCAATAATAATAAATGAAAACAAAGAATAAGTAGATAAACAAATGAATGTGATACTGGCAAAGAAAAAGGGCTAGTGTCACCGGGTGGTGAGTATTACCGCATTGTGACAGATGTGGTTGGCTCGGATGCTCAGGAGAATCTGTTACACAGCAATACACCACAATAGCAACCATTCTATTAAGACATACAGAGAAATATGAAATTCCTACAAGTCACTGAACATTTGTTATTATTCATTATAAACATGCAACAGAAAGCAAAAACTACATATTGACATCCTCCAAATGGTGACTGATGTCCACACTGACGGACATAGCATATGTCTGGCCTGGTATTTATTATCTTCATATGAGGAGAGACGTTGACTTAGCTTTCTTTTTGACCTTTTTTTTTCAAATCATCATGTATGAAAATGACCTATGAACATGACTGTGTGGCAAACTGAGGTCCTTAAGTTACAACTTGGCTTTTCACTGTTTCGGTTATCCATAGTCAACCATTGTCCACACTAGTAAACAGAAAATTCCAGGAGTAAACAACTGCTAAGTTTGGAATTGTGCATTGCGCTGAGTGATGTAATAAAATTTTGCACCGCCTGCTCTTTCCTGCCCATGGCACACACAGCACTTTTGCTCATCCTGATCATGGCTCGTGTGCAACCCTCCCACCAGTTTCTAAGACTCTGCTTGATTATGAGGCCGAGGGTCCAGATGACGTCCCGGAGCTTGTGTTCAGGTGACACTTACTTATGATCCAAAGTGCCAGTGTGAAGAAAAGAGTCACCCAGGCAGAAAACCAGGAAAGACAGATGACCCCTGGTGTGTGTGGCAATGCTGACAAGGCATACCAGGAAAATGGTACATCCCCTGCGTGTGGATGGCTTGTAATGTACCCATGTAATAGATAACAGAGAGCCACAGTGCTGAGAACATGGGCTGCCTGTCTAAAATTAGCCCTACCTTTCCCAAGGCTGAGGATATCAATGTTTTGAGAGTTTCAAACAGGAACCTCAGTTCAGTCTTTTGTATTTCTTTCTTTTATTTTTGAGATTATATAATTTCCCCATTCCCTTTTCTCCCTCCAAACATGCTCATATACTCCCTGTTCTCTTTCAAATTCACGGTCTCTATTTTCATTAATTATTGTTACATGCATATGTATGTACATATATGTGTATGTAGATACATACACACACATATATATAGATATATAATCTGATAAGTATGATATATAGACATATACACAATCTGCTCAGTCTGCACAATGTTACTTGTATATGTTTTCAGGGCTGATCATTTGGTATTGAGTAATCAGTTGGTGTGCTTGTCCCTGGGGACTATTTCTCCCTCCCTCAGCATAGGCACCTACAGTTTTCTGTGTAGGGTTGAAGCCTCATGCTCTTTTCCCTAGGAAGTTTGGCATGGCTATTGGTATTGTCTCTGTCAAGTTCATGTTCAGGCAGTCTTGTTGGTGAGACGTTATTCTGACATTAGTAGGATTTCCCCTACATTTATTTGTATGTGTGTGTGGGTGCACACGCACATGTGCACATACATGCCTGCCGTAGCACACATATGTGAACCAGAGAACAACTTTCAGAAGCTGGTTCTTTCCTCCAGCCATGTGTGTTCCAAGTATGGAACTTAGACTGCCAGTATATAGTTATTTTAAGAAATAATAAAATGAATCAGAACCTAGAATTTTATAAATAAATATGTATCTTAAATTTTTTGAGACAGGGGGTTTTACTGTGTAGCCCTGGCTCTCCTAGAACTCACTCTGTAGACCAGGCTGGTCTTGAATTCACAGACATCAACCTGCCTCTGCCTCCTGTGTCCTGGGATTAAAGACATGCATCACCAGTGCCTCACAATTTTTTAATCATATATGTAGACAGTTCAAGGAAGGCAAAGGAAATAAGCATCCCTTGCTCTGCAAGGACATTAGGCATTCAGGATTTTCTTCCAAGTTGCTATGTTTCAGAGAAAAACACTAGTTAGCTTCTTGAAGAGGAAATAATCACCTTGGTGTGCACACGTACACATGCATACACACACACACACACACACAGATACTTTGAGAAAGACATACAATGTATTTTTATCATATCCAACCCTTTCATCCAACTCTTCCCAGATCCACACCACTTCTCTACCTAACCAACTTTGTGTCCTCATTAAAAACAAAAAAACAAAACAAAAAAAAACCCCTACTAGGTCTGATTTGTGCTTCTCAAGGCACTATGGGATCATCCACGAGAGCCTGGCTGGTCTACCAGGGACAACTTTAAAGAAATGGACTCTCCCTCTCCCAGAAGCTGCCAATTGCTCCTTAGCTAGGGAGCCCACTTCCCCTCTTTATGCTGGGATTGTGTTTGACTTAAGCTTGTGTCGGCCTTGTGCATCCTGTCACAACCACTGTGAGCTCATGTGTGCAGATGTCCTGTAGCGTCTGGAAAACTTTCGCTGTAATCATCCTCTGCCTCCGACTCTTACAGCCCCTTCTACCTGCTCGTCCCCGATGCTCCTCCCTTGCGAGCAGGGAGTGTGATCTACATCCCGCTTACAGCTGAGCATCTGCAGTTTCTTGCTCTCTGCACCTTGATAGATTGTGGGTCTTTGTATGACATGGGATGTCCTTTTGTGTATATGTTGCTTTTATTGGCTGATGAATAAAACTGTCTGGGCCAATGGCTTAGCAGAGTAAGCCAAGCAGGAAATCAGAGCAAAGAGAGAGAGAGAGAGAGAGAGAGAGAGAGAGAGAGAGAGAGAGAGAGAGAGTAGGCAGAGTCGAGAAGACGCCATGTAGCTGCCAAAGGAGACAGACACCCCAGAAACCAGTACCAGTACCAGTAGTAACCTTATAGCCTCACGGTAATATACAGATTAATAGAAATGGGTAAATTCAGGATGTAAGAACTAGCTAGAAATATGCCTGAGTCATTGGCCACACAGTGCTGTCATTAATACAGTATCTGTGTGATTTTCGGATCTGGGCGGCTCCGAAATGTAGTCTCTGCTTACATTTGTGTTGATTGATGTCTATTGTAAAAACAAACTCCTTTGATGAGGGTTGAGAGGTGCATTTACCCAGAGGTGTATATCAAGAAGTCCTTAGGGAGAATAGATTTTTCCTATGTGGGTCCTAGAGATCAACTCATGTCCATGTGATTTCAAGGCAAGTGCTTTTCTGACCGAGTTATCAGCCCAGCTGGCCAGAGGTTTTTGTATGTGCGTGTCAACTATGTCTCAGTAATTTAAAAAGTAAGTGTTCCTTGGTTACAAATCCCAGTTTTTTGTGATTGGGGGGATGTCAGAACTGAGGCAAGGAGACTGTGTGGTGTGTTGTTTATAGTAACTTAGTTTCTAGAGCTTATGGATCATTTTGTGCCTATAAAAAGTTTTGTGGGTTTTTTGGTTTGTTTTGGTGTGTGTGTGTGTGTGTGTGTGTGTGTGTGTTGTTTCTCTGTGTAGCTCTGACTGTCTTGGAGGAAAATTATTATTATTATTATTATTATTGTCATTATTATTGATTTTAAAATATTTTTAGTACTGATCACACAGCCTCCATAGTCAGGAAGCAGAGAGACACACATGCTCAGCTCATATTCCCATTTTTATTCCATGGGGACCTGAGCCTCTGGGATGGTGCCAGCCACATTCAGGGTGGGTCTTCTATCTTCAGTTAAGCTTTTCTGAAAGCACTATCATAGATATATATTCACAGGAGTGTTTCCATGGTGACTACATCCCATCAAGTTGACAGTTAAGACCTACTACCATATAACATACACATATTTCTGGCACAGTTAGCTGAGAGGGACAAAAAAACATTGGCACTCCGAAAGCAACAAGTACTCCTGGCACTCAGCTCTTGGCTTATAGAACCATTCTATAATAAAAGGAGCCAGGGATCCTTGGAGAAGTGGCTCATTCTGCGGCTGGAGCAGAAAGTACAGGAGAGGAGCTGGAGTACCCTGCAGTGACAGAGTAAAGGGATTAAGACCACCAATAGAATACCACTCAGAAGC